AGAGTGTAGATAGTAATCATCACCTGAAAAACATAGAAAGAAGTTAAACCTTAAGCTAGTTCTAACAGCTTTTCCCCGTGCTTCTTCCACAACGACTTTCAAATATATATACTTTTTCATCTGATATAAGTTGTTTGCTTTTTCTGAAACTCCAGATAAGCACTTTCGCAAGTCTCTTCTTCATAGCTCTGTTCCTCTCAATCTTTGCCACGGGCATTCTTGAGCTGCGATGGAGTGGAGTAAGCATCGAAGAATGGTGGAGAAATGAGCAATTCTGGGTGATTGGTGGTGTGTCAGCTCACCTCTTTGCTGTTATCCAAGGCCTTCTGAAGGTTTTGGCTGGAATTGACACCAACTTCACTGTGACTGCCAAGTCATCAGATGATGAGGATTTTGGAGAATTGTACGCCTTTAAATGGACAACCCTCCTAATCCCTCCAACCACTATCTTAGTCATTAACCTTGTTGGAGTAGTTGCTGGGATTTCAGATGCCATAAACAATGGGTACCAATCATGGGGACCTCTATTTGGAAAGCTCTTCTTTTCATTTTGGGTGATTATCCATCTCTATCCATTCCTTAAAGGTCTCATGGGGCGGCAGAACCGGACGCCAACTATTGTTGTCATTTGGTCAGTGCTCCTGGCTTCTATCTTCTCCTTACTCTGGGTCCGAATCGATCCATTTGTGTTAAAAACCAAGGGACCTGACACGAAGCAATGCGGAATCAATTGCTGAAAATACTTGTATCCCCTTCATCCTTTTCAAATGTGCATCTCCGGAAGATATATGCTGCATTCTTGTCTTTACAGAGTATGATGTCTAAACAACAAAAAGGAGATGCAAGAATGAATAAAGGCAGACTACAAATTTTTGTGTAGCTTAAGTGCAATGTACCCAGTTTTGTAAGTGAATTGGAAAGTGTTGGTGTGATACTTTGTGCTAACTGACAAGGGATCTGAATTGATTCTCAGTTTATTATACATTTAAAACTGCAGATATATATATATATATATATATTGTATTGTGTACTTATGTTGCAGAAACTTCACATCCAGCTTATCAATAACGTAATATCTTGAAAATCATTGAGACTTGTATTGAATTGGATAGCCAGATGAATCAGAATACAGTTGCAAAAAGGACTTGCTACAGGAGCTTGCCGGGTGTATATTAGGAGAAGAGTGTTGAAACAGTAGTGTTTCCTGTATTTCCTGCAAGGCAGTTGGGAAACATAACATTAATGTTGTTATGGAATGCCATCCCATAGTATCAAACGGGCGTCCACCTTTTAGTTTCCACGTAAACAGTACAAAACTGCAGAACTAGGTGCTTGCATACCAGTGTAGAAAACTGTGGTGTCACCAATAGTCACCACAAGAACACACACCGTCTTTGAAATGATGGAATCTATTAGCATCCCTAACTATAATAACTCTTTCCGTGATCTTGGATATAAATTTAGTTGCATTATGGCAATCTAAACAAACCCGGAGATTCTTAAAGATTCTAATTTCTGTCCCAGGTGCAGTTTCGATGAGGGCAAAAGCAATGGCCAACTTCTCACTATGAACCTTCACCATTAATTCCTTCTCTTCCTCCTCCACATCATGCAAAACAGTGACAGTTTCAGTTTGAAATCCAGCCTCCATCATTTTTCCTGTTAATTTGTCTAGCATCCTATAGATTTCTGTTGCTCGAGGATGAGATTGATCACCACACGTAAACACATGTGGGGTCTCACAAATCTCAACAAGAGTGCATCCAGGAGTTTTTGCCAAATTTCTATTCTTGACTACCTGTCGTACTGAAGCAGCCTTTGGAAAGTTCCTGTCAGCTGAGTATATATTAGAGAGCAAGACATAATATCCTGTATTTTCCGGATCCAATTCAAATAGCCTTTCAGAAGCCACACGAGCCAGTTCTGTTTCTTTGTGAATCATGCAAGCACCAAGCAAGGCACCCCAAACAGCAGGACCTGGCTCAACCGGCATTTCTTTTATAAACTCCAAGGCCTTCTCTAACTTTCCAGCTCTGCCAAGGATGTCAACCATGCAGGCATAATGCTCAGCTAAGGGCTCAAAGCCATGGTTATGAACCATATAATGAAAAATTTCTTCACCTTCTCTCACCAAGCCAGCATGGCTGCAAGCATACAGAACAGAAAGAAAAGTAACCCCACTTGGTTGAATCCCAGAATGCAACATTTCAGTAAAGAGCTTCAGTGCTTCATGCCCATCACCATGGAGACCATAAGCAGATATCATGGCATTCCAAGTAACCACATTTTTCTCTGTCATCAAGTCAAATAATTTCCGAGCTTCCACAATGCTCCCACACTTCGCATACATGTCAACTAGAGCAGTCAATACATAGATGTTAGACTCTAGATTTTTGCTCTTAATCAAACCATGGACCCATTTCCCAAGACTTATAGCTCCAAGCTGAGCACAGGCAGAAAGAATACTTGTAACTGTAACAGGGTTTGGACTGAATTCAGACATCATTTCTCGGAAAAGAGATATTGCAGCCTCTGTCAGCCCATTTTGGGTATAACCTGCGATCATGGCATTCCAAGATGCCAAAGTTTTATCTGGAGACTCATCAAAAAGCTGCCGTGCTAATTCAATTTCATTCAGTCTACAATAAACGGTCACAAAGGCAGTAGAGACTGAAGGATGCGAAACAATCCCAGATTTCACACAGAAAGTTTGAAGAGAGCCAGTGAGTTGCAGATGACCAAAAGGAGAAGACACAGGAATCAACCCCACAATTGTGCTTGAGTTGACTTTCTCCCCAGAAGCAAGCAATTCCCTGAAAAGAGTAACTGATGATACGGTCTCATTGTTGCAAGTATATCCAGCAATCATGGCATTATAACATATCAAATCCGGCTGAGTAATATGCCCAAATAACAACCTTGCCGTCTCTAGCTCCCTGCACTTTGAATACAACGAAACCAACCCAGTAAGCACATGAACATCTGAATGAAAGCCAACCTTCAGAGCCAAACAATGAATCCCCATCCCTGCTTTCAACTCCTGCAACTCGGCCAGTGCAGGCAGCTCGGTTGCCAATGTCGTCGAATCAAAAGCTGTCCCACCCACCACCATATCTCTAAAAATCCGCATTGAATCGGCATAGTAACAATTCCTCACCAACCCAGATATCATCGTATTCCACAAAACCGTGTCCTTTTCCGGCATTCCATCAAACACCTTCTGTGCTAACTCAACCCGAGAAAACTTGAAGTAAAAGTCAACAATAATGGATCCAACATATAAATTTGATCCTAACCCATCAATAATCGAATGCGCGTGCAACAAAAGACCATATTTTTCGTCCTTGAAACCCGAAGCGGCTGATATAGCAAATGCGTAAGTGAACTTGTCAGGGTTGAGACTAGTGTTTTTCCTCAAATGGGTATACAAAGAAAGCGAAGATAAAGGTGAGGCATTGCTGGCAAAGCCTCTGATGAGGACGTTGAAGAGGAAAAGGTCTGGTTTTGGGATGGAGAGGAAGAGGTCACGTGAGTGGCGTATGGCCTTGAGGTCGGAGAACTTGTGAGTGAGCTTGGTGACGGCGGCGAGGTCGTCTTGGTAGCCGTTGAGGATGATTTGGGCGTGGGTCTGGGTTAGGTGAGAGAGAGAGGTAGCCTTGCTGAGGAGGCTAAGGAAGAAGTTCCGATCACGTTGCGCATAGCAGCTGCTTATGTTTCTGCAAATCATATGTCTTGTGTTTTGTGCTTTGCTTTTCGGAGAGTATGATTTTTTTTTTTTTATTTAGGTGGCACTCGTCGCAGTTATATTTAACTGTTTGGTTTAGTTCTTCCCAAAAATGGCGGGAATCCTTCTCTCCTTCTTAACAAATTATTGTAGCTGAAGCATTAGCATTTTTATTTTCTGGGAAACAACACGTGAAGTGAAAGCGTAGAAATTGTGGTTGTGTTTGGAGGTGGCTTTATTTTTAATCTTCTTCGTCTCTCAACTGCAACTAGAGAAAGTAGAGAAAGTATCGACAACAAAAGACATGATTCGTTAAGAAGTACCCCTCCATCCAAAACATGCAAAACTCAAATCCAAGACAACATAGATGCAACACTGGTTACGAGTATTTTCCTATTTCATTTCCTGTGAAACTCTTGCTTCTACATGGAATTCAAATCCTTTGCTTCCTTTGCATTTTCTTTTCATCTGCGTAATACAAAAAAATTACAGTGGGAAAGCACGGAGCCAAGGGCTCTTTGCTCAGGAAAGAAGGAAAAAAATTGAATGGAACAGGATGACATTCCAAGGCTAAAAAATCAATTTACATTCACAGAGAGAACCGAGGAGAGACATTTATCTCTCTCTGCCCAGGTATTTTAACCCTTCAGAATTGACAAAGCTTACTTATGATATTATAATTGCCTTAGAAACTAGTCAGGGTCAAGAAGCTGTCTTGGTTGCCAAAATTGGCCGCTCACGCTTCCTAAGTCTTGTTTCATTTGTATGAGATGGGTTCTGAGGCTGTATTCCTCTACCTGCTTTGACCCAACAGTAATCAAAAACCAAAACAATAAAACACTTCAAAGAAAAAAATAACTCGAAATCGAATCAGTTGAAAAGAAATCAGATTTCATCGATTTGCACTTTTCCTGATTACATTTTGTTCATTATAACTCATGGTCTCATTGTCTTACCTGCATAGCTGCTGCTGAAGCCAATAGCACTTCACACTCGTCAAGCATGACTTTCTCCTGTGCTGCTACAACAGCAAGTTCCGAAACCAAACTGTTCACGCCCTCCACCTACATCATGTAAATATAAAGTTCTGCAAAATTAGGTACATCCTTTCAAAAGAGCATCCTCAAAACACAAACTTTGCTTGCACAAGATATGCAACCTCTACATCATTGATCATTTTCTATATGGCATGAACAGTGCAGGAAATAGTTGGGGGATGAAAGCTATGACAACATGATCGGCATAAAACTATAGAAACATGAATCTCACCCTCGAGAGCAAAGAGCATATGGAGGATGCCATTGCCTGCATCACATCAACGGCTGAGCAGATAGCTACCTTCAGAGAATCAATATCTGCCTGTAAAAGCATAAACTTACAGTGATGCAAAAATCTCTCTTTCATAAATCAGACTTAATGATCTTTTACAAACCAACATACCCTTGCCCCTCCAGTCACTGGAAGACGGAGTGTGCTTGCCTCCAAATCTTCCATAGCCCCTGAGAAAGCAGCAATATGATCGCTTTCAAGTACAGCCCAGTCGTCAAGGTAGGCCATCTGAACAATCATTGTTCATGCAAGGACATTGAAATGGTATTATATAAGAATTGATATCACGGACAGTAAAGGTATGAATTCAGAAATAATAGAGATGTAATATGGGACCACAAGTTAACAGGAAAGTTCGTGTTTAAGATATGCCCAACATGATTTATTATTTCCATGCTTAGCACAATTGTACTTGGCTTCAATCAGTTTCTGACTGAACACAATTACAAACACAACATGAAAATTATTTTGGCTTCCATCATCATCAACTCCTCTTCTATTAGACAGATGGATGCTTAAAATATCTATTCCCTGATATCAAGGCCACTTAAGAGCTATTTCAAACAATTTCAAACGTTCACATGGAAAAAATCTTAGAATGCATCACGTCTTCCCGTTGCAGAATAATCTGAAGGCAGGCATTAATTCTTAGTCATATATTTTAGTCCACATTATAACCTAGTCTTTGACTTGGAGAAATCCTTAATGGACCAATGCAATCAATAAAAATATTGCCGAATATCACTGTTGTGCAAAAGAGGCATTACTTGATCATTCAACACTGAGTTCAGCTTAAGCTCAAGGTTCAACTGCTGGACAATGATTCTTTTCCTGATTACTGAATCCCACAAGCTCAGCGTAGTGTTCCATACATTCAGTAGTGTTCTCTGCACCATCAATTAAATTTCTGATGTAATTTGACATGTACTGTGAAAAAATAGAAGATATATTCTTCACTGGGAATGCAGTATGCACAACCTCGACCATGCAACAAATCGAATATAATTAATAAACCATTTAGTATTCTGTACAAAGTGGGCAATATACTATAATGCAATAATTATTTTTCAGTTCGTAACCTTAACTATCACTCATGAGCAACTAATAAGATATTCCTCAACTGCATCATGTAAAAAAAACCATAATAGTTCAGAACTGCAAAGACCTCACTATGTGGTCAAATGCGTGGGTA